GGAATCTGCCGTTCAGGAATCGCGGTAGTCGTAGTTGTTGCTGGAACAGCCGGAACAATAGCAAATGGAATATATGGTCCATTTTCTATGTAATGTGGAATTTCAGGATCCACACCTTCCAGAAAGAGGGACATCCAGTTCTTCCAGAGACTAAAGTTGTTACGGACAAACTGGGGAGGTTTGGCAAGAGAGCCATTATCTTTTGTGTATGTGTTTGTAATTTGTAAAGCCATTTGTAAGAAGTAAGTTATCTAAGAAGAGATAAATTAATACATAAAATTAGCCAAACACAAGTAAAGAAAGAAAACACTGCTCTGATACCACTTGTTGGTCCCGTAAGGGTCTACAAGAATAGAAACAGTTTGTAGAAGGGGGGGATGAATACAAACACGGTATTTTTAAATTTAAAATATATATTGATAGAGAAGATCAATAAAGATTTTACAAGACTGTTTGCGGAAAGATAAGGTAATGAAAACCTATCTAAACAATCTTTGGTTACACACAGAGCTTTAGCAAATACAAGAAAAGAGAATGCTAAAAGAAAGATCTTTTACTTAAGCTAGAAGATGCTTGAAGTAAGAATAAGGTTAGAGAGAGATGCACGCTCTCTGCATGGGAAGAAACACTTCTATTTATACCCAGTGCATTAAATGATCATATAATGCACTATGGTAGGTTTAGAGTGCGTGTCAAACCTTAAGAGGAAGGCTTGTGCTTTGCTACAGTGAATAGTACAAAAGCACTATTTCTGAGCAGACATCCTTGCCTAAAGTTGGTGGACAAAGATTCGACTAATCGGCTTCGTACCGTACTAACTTTTGTAAGGGTATGGTTTTGTCCTTTGTGTGCATAAGGACAAGACAACAATAATCGTGCTAAGCAAGTTTCCTTTGATTGCTGAGTGCTGGAATGACCTGGAGGTCTCATCATCATTCGCTGAAGCTAGAGCAGTCTTCACACATGTATAGACAGGCTTGTAATCACTGAATACCGCTTCAGATCACGTACTCGCCAGTCTCTAATCTTCAGTTTCAGTCTTCGATGTTTGCTGAAGGTTCTTTGATGTGAGTGTTGTCTTCTTGAAGTATTGTTGTCTCTGATGAATTTACTATGCAAGTTCTTCAGCGATCACTGAACATACTCAGTGATGATCGCTGGAACTGAAAATACAGAAACACAAATACAACGTGAAAGAGAAAAGAGATTATCATCAAATCACTGAGAGAGAGAGAGGATCAACAACTTCCACTCTACGCTTGTCCTCATCGTCCCAATCTTGACGAAGTTTGGGAACTCTTCTGGCGGGTACTTCGACCGTATCGCCAGCAGCAGCAATACGAGGAATTATTGTAGTGGGTACAAAAGGGCCGTTCAAAATCGATTCGTAAAGCTCCTTGTCAAGACCTTCGTAAAAGTTTATCATGCTTTTTTTTCGTTGGGGATATTCTTCCCTAATGAGTGTTGGAGGTTTTGTGAGAGATCCAACACTATTCATGGAGTTCCACGTTTGACTAGACTGTTTTAAGGTATTTGAGAAGAAAATTGACGTGAAAGTGATAGATGATATGGAATTGATTTCCAAAATACTAAAAGCATACGTTTTTAAATGGATAAAAAATGAGAATGAAATTCTCTTTTAAAAACGAATAATCAGAAATTAAGAGTGGTATCCTAATGGATATCGATCGACTAATCAATAAATTTGATTAGCAGGCTCTGATACCAATTGCTGGAACCCAGATACTCTTAATTTTCAGAAAACACAGTTAATAAAGAATGTGAATGAAATACGAACATTGAACTGAGTTTGATCAAACGAGATATTTAATAGAAAATAAGAAAGTAAGAGACTTTGAATAAGTTGGATGCTTTTATTAGATGAAAATAACAATTCTCAATCTAAACGTATTCTCACAAGAACTTTGCTATAATATAAGTCGGCACTCTCACGTGATTTGAACCTGAAGAGGAAACCTCCTTATATACGCCTAAGTCAAACAAACTATGCTATAATTATGGCTTGAAACTCTGAGTCGCTGAGTCCACATCCTTATCATTGACTACCCTTGAAAAGTGGAGTAGACCAAGTCAAGCCGCCTTGATTCTGTTTGACGCTTGCGAGAATGTCTGGACTAAACGCACGTTCCATGGAGTTAGGTGACTAGAGGCTCTGCATGTACTATACAGAGGCTCTGTATGTACTATACAGAAGCTCTGTATGTACTATGTAGAGGCTCTGTGTCTGGAGTGTAGCTTTGCATCAAGCGCTTAAGCTTTATGGCGCTTAAGGCTTGATCATCCACGGAGATTGAGCGCCGACTCTTTATGTAAGATCCTCGACTCTTTGAGTAAGAGCTCTGGGTCTTGACTTCTTCTACATGAGAACTCTTAGTCTAGACTGCTTCTAAAGACTAAGTCTTATGGACTAGAGTAAGAGGCTTCTTACTTAGACTTTCATAAGGTGGGATCTAACATTCTCGAACCATATTTGTTCGCTTGCAAGAAGCACAAACCACATTCATCACAGATGCTATCTTGTCAAAAACTTTTCCAGTCTCGATGTGTTTATGTGCAACCGCCACAAGAAGTAACTGAAGTTGGTGAGCAAAACAATGGACATAATATGCTGAGCTATTTTCTCTCATGATTAAAGCTTTCAAACCATTGAATTGGCCATGCATATTGCTTGTTCCATCATAACCTTGGACTCTAACCTTTTTCAAACTCAAATCATGTTCAACAAATAAGAATTCAATCAAAGAATTAAGAGATAATGTATTTGTGTCCTTTACATGTAAAAGACCAATAAATCTTTCCTTAACAATCTCATATGTAACATATCGCAAAACCACGACCATTTGTTTCTTTTTAGATATGTCACTTGACTCGTCAACTAATAAGGAAAACATATCATCACCAATCTCTTGGAAAATATGTTTAAGTACCTCTTGTGCAAAGCAGTGAACAATATCTTTTTGAATACTTGGCACCACCATTAAATTATTCCCTGGAGCATTTTCTAATATAACCTTAACGACAACCTCATTTTGATCCCACATTAATTTTTTAATTCAAGAAATTTCCCCTATGAAGATACGTTTCTGACTCATCATGACCACGAAAAGGTAATGCACCATTCAACAAAAGTCTAGCAGCATCAACAGAAGCATTCAACCGAATACGATATTCATTCTTCTGAATATCACTTTGTTTATGTAACGCGACGAGAATTGATTGACCATGTCTCATTAGGTCCTCACATTTCTTGACAACTCTATTGTGGAAACTATTAATGTGGCCCACATGAGTAGTTAATCTCTCATTTTTATTTCAACTACTAAAGTCTTCCGTTAAAAAATCATCACTCCCACCTTGTCCACTACATTGATCTCTAAATAAGTAACAACATAAGCAAAAAACTTTATCTACTTTTAAACTATACTCCAAACAATTACCGAATTGATTAAACCAAGCCAGGTTAAAACTTCTTGCCTTGTTCCCAATTATTCTTCTTGGAAAGTTGTGATCACGTGGTTGACACGGTCCTTTAATCAAATAGTTTTATCTGATTTAATCTCTTTGATTAAGGTGGTATTGTAAAATTCTTTTCCTTTCAGCTGGATCTGATGGAAGATTATTCAAAGCAACTTTATAAGATTAAACAATAAAATCGACGTATGAGAGTGGTTTGTACAAATGATGGTGGTTTTCATTTGATAGCTCATATATATATATATATATATATATATATATATATATATATATATATATATATATATATATGCTTAAGTTGAATAATTGAAAACAAATTCATTACTATAATGCAAGAAACATATCTTTTGCAAAGTCCTATGGAAGCATAAAATTAAAAAACACATAGATCCAAACACTACCCAGCTTCTGTCAAAGTGTGAAAGGGATTTGAATTTAGAACACAAAATGCATATTTTTCAACATATATATCATGTTTACAGCTTCTTGTCTTTAGTCAGTGAAGAATACAAACAAACAACAAACAACAAAGAGGCATCCATACCTCTCACTCTCTCCATCTTCCCTTCAAACCTCTTTCAACAACCATTACCACAAAAAAGTTAATTAAACCACGTTACAGGTAAAAGTCATCATCCTTACTTATCTTATTGAGTAACATTTATAATCATCAAAATGGATTGTTATATGCGTCTTTTACCCGATTATTCTCTCTCACTTGCCGGATAAGATTCTTGATCATTGTTATGCTTCTTACCGTGTAAGATTTTTGGTCCTTTCGATGATCGCCCTGTAAACGCTTACATGTAAGATTTTGGCAAACATCTCTAAGTAAGATTTAAAACAAAAAGAGTTTTAGAAATCTAATCATTCAAAATGTCATATATGAATGAAAGCTAAGCTGCAGATAACAAACCCGTACACATATATGAGGAGCACTGTCATCATTCCGAAGACTAAAAGGATTCAGTTGAACCTCTTCGTCTACCCCGGGAACACAACCAACCTTGGCTTGGGAGCGGGAATAGCCATCTTGGAAGCCGAATCACTTAAAATTGGGAGCATAAGCCTGAGCGGAAATGACTTATTGCATAACGACTTGTAATTGAAGACTTTTAGAATTTATGCATTAACAAACATTACCACTTAGCAGTTGTTTGATTTGCTGTTTGAATGGGTTTCTATTAAGTTCTATATGAATAATGCTAACTCTATGGATTAATTTGTCTTTATAAACAGGAAGGGTTTTTCATAGATGGAATGTCTGTATTTTTTGATTGGGAGAGGCATGTTTAGGAGAAACTTGACTTTCTGCATAATGCTTCTCAAAAAGGTTACTGAAAAGCCACATTCTATATCATTAAGTCACTACTACTTATAGCAAAAGATGTTTTTAAAGAGTTTTTGGCTAAATGCTTTATAAGATAGCATGGATAATAGACTTTCAACATCCGCTGTTTGGTAATTACAGAAAGAGAAAGCATTCATTCTGTTATGTAAAGTAGTAGCAGAATTAGGTTCACTATATTAAAGCAACAGCTATGCATATCTGGATCATCCCTCATACAGCAAAAACAAAAGGGAAACATGAGAAAACATCTGGAAAAACCCCGAACCCTAACACCTTTTCACCTTCTACACTTCCATGCCGAAACTGAGAAAAGGGGTCTGTCTTGCCAACACATGACCACGCAGCCGTTCTCTTCTTTGATCCGACACCCATCACAACTATACCCTTGGAGCAATCTCCGAGCCTGCAAAAGAGCGTAATAGCTCAATGGCACGCACCCAAATCCAGCCAAATCAAGTCTTTGAACCCACTTATCGAGCTTTTCGTGCCTCTCCTTCCTCTCACCACCTTCACAAGCTATGATGTTCTTGATCTCCTCTCCGAATAACATCTTCTCCACCTTCAGTCTCTCCATTGAAGTTCGCGGTAACGTAGATTCCAAGCAGTCAAACAATGCAGCATAGAAGTATAAAGATTCGGAAAGTCTTTCCATCAGAGCGGATTTGTTGTGATTAGAATCTTGTTCTGATACCACCATGACCTTCGGTGACAAACCCCGCAAGGCGTTAAGAAATCCATCTATTTTTGTGGAAGTGACAGAAGGTGAAGATGAGGCCGTATCTTGACTTGGGCTATACCCATTGGCCAAATCTTTTTCAAGCAACTCTCCAAGAGGTTTTTGATTCACTTGGAGGACTCTTGGAAAATGGATCCCATTCGAGTTCTTGGAAGTTAATGATGACTTCGATTTCGCGACTTCATGGTCATCAGGTGCCAACAACGAATGAAGTTGTAGAACAGAGCTAATCGCTAACGCCTCACCTGTTTTAACATTCAATTTCTCGACATCAAGATTCTCTATTTTACTCACAATGGGATTGAACTGAAATGGGATATCCAACTTCTCGGCTTCTTCAATCAATACGCGCGCCATTTGGTCCAAAACCTCTTTCTGTTGATGAACACCCGTAATCCTCAAATGGGGCGGGCCTTCAGGGCGTGCACTCAAATCACGAAGGAGTGCACGCCACTGAGTAGGCTCGGAAGCATTTAGATCGACCACATGAACAATCTTCTCCCCTTCCATGGCTTCAATTATCACTTGATTAGCAATCACAAACGCTATCTTCAAGTAAGGAAAGTACTCGAAGAACATCCTCCTAACCAAAATGTTCTCCGAAGCAAACGATATCTTTGTGGAATTTAAAGCCTTATAAATGCCAGGCCATGTCTTGAGGATTCGGTTAGCAAGGGCTTCAGCGAAATATGAAGCAATTCGCTGCATTGTATCTCCTTCGGGAGACGAAAGGTGGGAGATTTGGTCAAGGGCAATGTTGGCATGTTCAAAGTTTCCTGAAGCTACATGTTTGGCACAAGTGAGTAATAGATGAATCAAACACAAACCCCTCTCCTCTGATTTGAGTTCTTTAAGCCATGGGTATGGCGATCCCATTGCAGGTGAAAGAGACATTGTTGGAAAGATTTGGTTTTGGACTGGTGTTGAAGTCACAGATGATGACCCATCATCTTGAAACATTGGAAACTAGAATTCAACTCTAATAACAACTGAACCCAAGTGTGAAATCAGATTTGATGTATTTAAATTGTACCAAAAAGTAGTAAATTGTGATGAACAGATTGGTTCAGATTACACATAAACAGATAGGATTTTTTGGCGAAACAGAATCAACAAGTAAATTGAAGAAAGAGCAGAGAAATGAGTAGTACCATGGGCAATCTTTGTGGAGGACAACTCGCCAAGCAATCCAAAGAACACAAGTTTCCTATTAGGTTTTCAAATCATCAAAACTCCATTTTCAAATCCCATGAATATACCCTAAATTCAATCACAGATTACGAGAGGGACTGGGGAGTAGAATTAAAGCTGAAGCAATCAAAAGAAGAGCAATTCCTTACTGGGTTTTCAAATTCATCAAAAACCCAATTCAAATCTCACGAAAACGCTCTCAATTGGAATGATTTTAGGACCTTCAAATGACTTTTGGGGGTTCTAGAGAAAGACAACATGAGGAGGAAAAGGTTGGGGGTTTGAATTAAACTCAACAAAACAGAAATTCCTTACTGGGTTCTCAAATTCATCAAAAATCCAGCTCCAATCTCACAACAATCCTCTCAATTGAAATCACAAACAACGTTAATTTAAAAAAAAGGAAGAGTTTGAGAGGGTTTTCAGAGAGAGAGAGAGAGAGAGAGAGGGTGAGGAACAGTTGGGATTTCAATGAATTAAAAGCTAGTCGTCAGTCAGTCAGGCGGTTTTCTTCTTTGATTCAAGGAACAGTGTGAATAAAAGAGCGATAGGAGACAAATGGCGTGAGATTTGTTTTTATCTTCACCGATTTTGTGTCGCTTAGTGTTGCAGGAGAATATGTGAATTTTGTGAAGACCAGTGCCCCTGTTCTATTTCCCTCAATTTGAATATAAGAAAAGCACTTTTGTCTTTCTTCCTCTATTCCAAAAGTGCTTTTTGCAAACATTTGTCTTCACTTAAGGTGGATAGGGAATCAAGTATACAACCAAACAGCAAGCCTCATGCCATTTTTTATACATTGTGTAATAACCATTGTGTTCAATTTTTAAATCATCCACGACAATTATAAAAAAACCACTAAGGGGTGTTTTGGATTATTTATAAAAACAATTTATTGATTTATTTTAGTGTGACATCGATAATAAGCACTTTTTAGTGTTCGGATAAACAGCTTATATCGGTGTCAAAACGGCAATAAGGAGTTTTTGAAGAAGTTAAACCATTTTAACTTATAATAAGTTGATAAAGACTTTTGTATAAAAACATTAGTTGTTTCTAATAAGCAATCTCAAACACCCCCTAAATTATCATTTGATGACCCAAAACAAGAAGAAAAAGGAACTATGTGTTAAGATATGTGTACCTTTTTTTAATCTTTTTCTAAAAAGAACATTTATAAAGAGACGAGGAAATGGTTCTTGCATATATGTAAGGATGTTCCGTTGGAAAACAAAATTGATTAGAAATCTGGGAAGTGCTTATAACATGTCATATATCCCTCTTTAGGATGAAGATTCCTCATGAATACACACATTCATGATCAATATTGATGTGTTATTACAACATTCATAATGAATAAACTGTCTGTATTAATGATGAATATGTCAGATATCACATTGTTAACGGTTCCTAATCAATTTTAGCTTATGGGAACTTGCCCCCATATATGTGTGTGTGTGTGTGTGTAATATATGCATGTTTCATGATATGTGGAATGGAGACGGAAGACTATGTGGAGTCTATATACGAGCTATGATACCATTTTTAAGTAATTGTAATACTTTGAATTTATTTTTAAAAGAACCCTTAAAAGGGGGAAATGAGGTTCTTACATATATCAAGGTTTGATGCCATGTGTCTAATCGAAGTGAGACTCCAACACCCCGTAGTTTGGTATATTTTTCTAATATAAGTACCGATAAATGATGTTGTAAGATGCTTATAATTATTGTACTTTCATAATAAGTTTGAAATTACAACCTCAACTTAAGAGGTGTTTGGTTGGAAGTGATAAGAGGTGGAGAATGTAAGTGGAAATCGTTACTCTTTTGATGCAATGGAATGAGCCATTACTAGATACAAAATAATGGAACAATCGTCAACAGATTGAGGATATGAAAGTCATTCTCATTTCTATTTTGAAATTGTGCCAACATCCTAATGACCTGAAACGAACCAAACAGCCCCTTAAATTCAAGAGTTGGGCATCATTAACAAAGGATTTTGACATATGCAAAATGTTGGCAACCAAAATTGGATTGATAATGTGTGTCATTTATGATTGGTCATAAATTTGAGAAGGAATCATGGGTTGTATCATGAAAAGGTGCAATAGAAGGTTGTACATTTAAGGTAACGTTATTAAATTTGGAATATTTGAAAAGATAAAAAGGAAATATAATTAGAGACAAAAGAGCTTTTGGAAATTGTTTTTGTCATTTCGTAATGTGGATGGGGAATCAAAGAGGGGTGGCCAAAACAACTTTTACTTTTGTTCTCCAACTACTTGCATCCCTCCAAACACCTCTTACCAAATCCAAACGCTAAATGCTTATCACCACCATTTACCCCCTTTCATTTATATATTATATATTTATATATATATATATATATATATATATAAAACGGTATAATTGTTTCAAATCAATTTCAACCATTTGTATATATAATCAATGGTTTAAATTAAATAGCCTCCTAAATTTGCTTTCAACCTTATTATAACTGATTTAATAATCTCTTTGGATTTCAAAATAAACAAAATTAAGGTCCAGATTTCGTTTGTATAATAGTTGGACGATGTGTATTTCAAACTCACTCTTTAGTGTGTGTGTATATATTTATATATATAGGGGACTTTTTGAGAATCAATAAAATTGTGATAACTTTGAGAACTAGTGTATCATGTGTTATTTCATATGTTTTTTTTATCTAAGACTAGAATTTAAAATATTGATTAACATATATTTGTTTCACAATGTGAATATTTATTGCATGTTTGTGAAACAAAAGTTACACGTAAAAAGGTTTCACAATGTTCCGCATGCATATAAAACAAATATATTAAGAAACAAATATATTAAGAAACAAATATATGTTCATCAATAAATTAAATGTTAGACTTAGAGAAGAAAAATCATGTGAAACAATACCTTAAAACAAAAGTTCTCACGGGAGTTCTCAAATGATTAAGTCCCTACTGTCCCTACACACACAAAAACATGTATAGAGAGAGAGAGAGAGAGACTTAATCATTTGAAAACTTCAAATTTATGAGATCCATGAGAACTTCTATCTTAAAGTTTTGTTTCACATTATCGTTTTCATCTAAAAATAGTATTTAATGTACTGATCAACATATATTTGTTTCACAATATGTTTTGTTTCATATGTATTTGGTTTATAATGTAAAAAAAAAATTACATGTATTTTATATTTCACAATATGTTTTGTTTCATATGTATTGTTTCATAATAGTATTTAGGTTTTGTTTCATATTATTTTTTTCATCTAAAAATAGCATATGATGCACTGGTTCTAGGATATTTCACCGTTTAGAAAGTTCTCAAAATAAGGTTCCCCCCATATATATATATATATATATATATATATATATATATATATATATATATATATATATATATTTAGAGAGAGAAGTTTAATTACAAACTTAATTTTCATTGTAAGCATAAGAATTGATCTCGGTCTTCTATCTTATTTGATTTAACAACTCATATTAAATATAGTTTTAATTAAAATTATTATTTAAGATAATTAGAGGTAAAAAAATCTATTTAATTTCAATTCATGCTTACCTTTTATTTTTATTTTAATTAAAAAAATTTACCTCCTTAAAAGTTTAAAATAAAGTATTTTAAAAATTACTAATATTTTAATAAAAAAAATTACTAATATTTTGATCAAACAAATTACATCAAAAAAACGAGAATTTTATGCTCTGTGATATGACTTTCATCTCGATATAGTTTTTTTTTCATTTTAACATTTTTTTACGTGAAATAATATATATGTTGTTGATCCTCTCTCTCAGTGATTTGATGATAATCTCTTTTCTCTTTCA